GTGCGTGCGTGCGCGTGTGCGTGCGTACGTTGTGTGGACGTGACTCATGCAGGGGATGAAAGTCATGTGAGCTGGTCTCCCATAAACATGCAGTGCAAACATACCTGCGGGGCACTACCTGGATGCCATGGGCATGCAGCTTGTACGCCCACTGTTTATCACTTGTGATTTGCTGCGACAGCTCGTTGTACATGCCTAGCCGCCTAGCCCTTGACCTCTTGACGACCAGACGACGCGAGGGCAACGGAGGTCATGGCATGCTCGACGCTTTCCGACCGCCCGGCAACGTTTGGAACACTCCGGTGTGTGTTTCGCCGCCCCTCCCCAGGCCATGACACAGTTATGTTAGACTCTGCTAGACCCCGATCTTTCCCCTCCAGCATGGCACGACCTGCAGAAATTTCCTCACAACCGCATCCAAACGCAAACAACCCGCCGCGTTGCAGGCCGAGCGACCACATCCTCTTGCTCCAGTCGCAAGGCAATGCCTCTTTGCTCTGCCAAAGGCTTGATTTCTTCCGGGATGTTAATGTTGCCTTCAATACTAGCTTACGGTCCTCTGGTGATGAAAGAGGCCCTTTTTCCATAAGAAGATGCTTCAACCAAAAGTCTCTCGGATTCTGAAAGTTCGGCATACGAGACCTCCGGTAGCACTTATAGAAGCAGCTTAATGCCCGCCTGGTAGAGAGAGAGAATCGTCGACAGACGGCTGCGAAAGCCGATCCGACTCCGGCTCTCGGGTCTCGCTCTCCGAGCCCTTCAGGTCCTTGCCCCAAGACGTTCCCAGAAAATCAGCCTCAAGTTTGCGAGCAGCCCCCTGCCTTGCTTCGACGCCCTGCCATTGCTATTCCGGCAAAGGGTTGATCCATCACCTGAGATTGCACATCTCTGAACAAGTTGCCTTAGAGCCGGCAAGTCTCCGGCACCGCACGAGTGTCGGTCAAGCCACGTCGCAGCTGGATGTGGCACGTTATTGAATTTGAACCAAGAAGGCACTGCGCAACAGGGAATGCAGGGAATGCCATGTGGCAAGCGGATGCAAGAGGTTGGGTTTTCTTGTTGGGGGATGTTGGGGCCTCCGGTCTACCCGCTGACGTACCCGTCTCGAGGGCGCGTCCAATCTCCCAACGACATGTGCTCGCTCTGCTGCCCCGGGGACACCTCAGAGAATTTTCGGGGAGGGCTCGCAGGGTTGAAACAGCCGGCCGTCTTGAGCAATGCATCAGGGAAATCATATCGCGTCAGTCTGCACGTGAGCTCGCTGTCGAGGCTGAGGGCTGAGATGCGCAGAGGGATCTTCAGGCCCAGAAAGCCGAATCGGCGGAAACTCGTGGGTTGGGAGAGAGGCAAAAACCTAGCACCAGGCGTGGACCACGCCGGTGGCCGAGATCCTTAGCACAGAGGATTTGGGAGCGGCGAATCATCTGGACAATGCCTCTGCCTTCCTAGAGATCGACCAGGTCCAATGCCCAAATGTTCGATTCCTCCGGCTCACCGGAGCCTGCATCCCGTCTAAGGCCGTCAACCCTCTAGGAAGCCTCTGAGCCTCTGATCGAAGGGCGAGGTGCGTAAAGTGCTCCCCGAGCTTTGCGGCCGTCGTTGCAGAGGAGGACTGCAGTCGGCTGAGCGCAACTCTACAGCACTCTGGAAGGTTGTCTTGCTCAGGATCTGAAGGCCTCTCCATCCCCCTCCCTCCCCTCATCCCTCCCTCCTCGTGATTGCATCCGAAGCTGTAATCAATCAAGGCACCCCATCCATGAGCTCAGAGATGACTTCAAGGTCATATGGCCGAAACTCGGTAACGTCCACCTGGCTTCCATGCTCGTGCGATTCCTCAACATCTCTGTGCCTCGAAAACTACGCATGAAGCTGCAACAAGCACACCTTTGTCTGCAAACTTCAGCAAACGGCAAAGCATTTGCATATCCCTGCAGAAGTATGTTGTGCAAGGGACAGCCGACACCAGCATCATAATCTCAGCGTCTGGCATTCTCTCTTCGCTTGCAGTACACGAACTTCACCCTGGCAGGAAAACATGAGATGTCTCTCTGACGAGGCTCTGCATGGCTGCGCCGAAATTGAGCACAATGCATCTCATGTACCACGTTTCAAAAAAAAACATGCATCTGCGGAACTAGGGTGGAATGCAGAAGTGCAACCTTTCTCTGCTCAACCTTAAAACCACTGGCACTAGCAGCTCCACGCTACGGTTTATTAAATTGGTGTAAAATGAAAAAGTAGCTGCACTAAACGCTCTGCGATCCGCGTGCATGCCTAACATCTGTACTATCGCGCCATGCAAGCATGTATGCTGACAGAGATCTGGAACCGGATCGAGTTCGTCTAAGCATGCAGGGAGCACGAACTGTTGGATCCGTTCTTCGCGAAGAAGGCTATGACATCCTGGAGCCGGCACGGCGAATGCCGACTTGCACCACCAAGCCGTGTGTTCGGGGAGTTTGGAACGTCGGCTGCTAGCCAGGCGATCTTTGCAACACACGCACACACACGCGCACACACACACGGAGACGGTGGCTGTATTTGTGATGGAGACGCTTAGTCAACTACCTTCCAGGATCCATAGTTCCTTAGTAATCATCAGAGTACCTGTATCAGCCAGGAGATGAAAACTTCCGACTTAGCCTGGTTGCCACAAAGTCCGAAAAAGGCAGGTACCTGGATCGAGCGTCCTCGACCCACATCAGTCACAAGCACGGCCCTCTTCGTTGGACCGTCAATCATGCTTGCGACGCGGTCCCCCTGTGCTTGTCTCCAAAAACCTTTAGCTTAGCATGACGGCTTGCACCCACACACACACACACACAGAGCAGCAGCACGGGACCTCGCCAGTTCGCAACTTGGCCAGCTCGCGGCGAAGCATGGTCTCCTCATCCCACCTGAAAGGCGATCGGCGATCCTTCTGAGCAAGGCTTGACAGCTCTCCAAGCGTTCGCAGCGCCCTTCACAGTCTTGGGAAAGGAGGGCCGAGATGCGCCGAGGCCCTCGCTCTTCGTCGGGAACTTGGGCCTGCAACATCTCCTCAGCCGAGAGAGAGAGGAGAGAAGAGGGTGTGAGGTGTGAGCCTATCCTTATGGTGCGTCCTGACCTCACCGGCACACTTTGTGCAAGAACCGTCTCCCAGCTCCCAGAAGACGACCGGTGGGGTCCTCGGCAGTGGTTGTCACGACCTCGGTGTAACATACTTGCAAATCACCGGATCTCTGATAGTTCTGCCCTTCCTCGCTGAAAGATACCGGGCTCATTTGTTTTGTTCAGTGTTCGCCAAAATAACCTTTGAAAGCCCATGACCCCACACACGCACACATACACGTAGACCCCAATGAGTAGAGTACTTGGATAGAACATGGAAAGGGAAGTGGGGTTGCATGACAACCCCGCGACGAATCCCTTATGCCCAAACAAGCACCCACGGGGCACATGCTCCTGGTGGCTTGCAGCGTCTTCAATCACGTACTCCAAGATGTCCATAGGTCTCTCCAACAGCGGAACTCGCCAGTACTTGCACAAGTACCGGATGGTTCATGTCCGTCAATACGCACCGCTGTCAAACCAAAGTTATCGTGTTTGTTTTCGCTTTGTATACTCAACTTGCCTCGTATTTGGGAGGCTTCATATAGCAAGTCTCCAAGCATCAGTTTGCCGAAGTGCAGCCTCCAACCCTCAGTTCGCAGAAGCAAGTGCAATGTCTCAAGAAGAGTAGTGAGTAGTAGTAGTAGTAGT